CAACCAATCAGCTGCATTCTTCAGTTTTTTCCGTTAAGGTTTAAAAATGAAAGGGAGAAGCTGATTGGTTGAAATGCAAAGCTGCTCCAGAATTTGTCTGCTCCAGTTTTGATAAATTCCCCCGAAATGTGTTTAATAAAGGCAGGCTTTTTAATAAATTGATGACCTCCTGAGATAGATAATGATTTCTCAAAGCAATAATAGCAACAGTAAAATGACGCAGTATAAAAATATATATATTCTTTCTTTGCAGGATATATATGCTGGGAATCCTATAAAGATTTTGCATTTGGGTCTCACCAAAGCCCTTCTACAAAGTATGTTTATCAATAACGGTTATTCTGACAGCACCCTGTAGATGGCAGCAGGGGCACCCTAGTGTCTCTCTAAAGGAAAATCAGGAGATAATAGGGGTTTACAGAAAAAAGCTTGTGCCTCTTCTAGCTGCCTCTTACTATACTGTATGTGTATTCTAAAGACCCGAGCATGTGACACACAGGTTTAAGCTTCCACGCATGTGATTGCACATCGCATTTGTGATCGTTTTGCCACATGTCACCCCATCATTTCAATGGGCTGCCCCACGCACAACAAACGCAGCAAAGAAGCTCATGCAGCAATTTGAATTGCGAGCCTCACACTTTTTTTGACCATGCGTTTTTGCACACGTCAAGGCATGGGCGAATGTGAATATGCCCCATTGGACTCCAGACCTTAGATCCAATTTAAAGTGCTTCAGTGGGTGCTGTAGTGACCTGTGGATGGCACAGAAGAAATAGTCAGCAGCACACCAAGGGTCCACTTTATCGCTCTGTCTTTATTCAACGTCAAAAAACATTGTATCACATGCAAAAACAATGTTTCTGAACCAATGAAGGGACCGCATGAGGTTCCAAAACGTTGCATTTACACGTGATACCATGTTTTCCTGACGTAGAATACAGACGGAGCTATAAAGTGTACCCTCGGTTTGCTGCTGACTATTTCTTCTACAACGCGTGGGCAAAGATGCATGTTTTACTGGCCGCGTTTGGGGTGCCATTAACAAGCAATGGCACCACAATCCTGTCACCCGTTTTTACTGCAATCGCATGTCAATGCGCACATATGGCAAGTGTGAATCGAGACTGAGTCAAAAAGATCTAATCCTGTGTGATGCTGGTGCCTAGAACAAGGCTGCTCCTAAGTATTAACTATCCTATTAATAAAAACTTTTCAGCAATTGTCTCTTTTATCACAGAGGCAATTAGACCCTTGGTTCTCAACTGGTGGATCGTGACCCAAACGTGCGTCGCAACCCTGTGTTCAGTGGGTCACCGCATGCTTTCCACTTTTCTAGGTGAGAGGCTTCTGAGTCTCCCCCTAGCGCAGCACTGTCAGTTCTCACACCAAGCAGCCATTTGAAATATGCTGCCCGGTGCCAAGTGCCAGCTTGAGGTGGGGTGGGATGGCGCTATGGTTGCAAGGTAGCTCCATCCACACGTGGATTGCTTACAGCTCTCTTCTCTTACGTGCCCTGTAGAGGTGCCTGGACCGGAGTGATGTCACATTCTGGCTCCCCACACCTCTACAGGGCATGCAAGGGAGCTGTACAAGCAATTCACACATGGATGGAGCTCCATCACAGCACAGCAGCCCACACTGGACCCTAGGCTGAGGATCTACACCAGTTCCCATAAGATAGGAAGACTGGGTGGACTTTAAAAAAAGAAAAAAAAAAAAGTTTTGTAGTGTGTATGTGTGAGTGAGAATCTCTGAGCGTGTGAGATTGTGTCTGCGCTTGTGTGTGTCTGTTAGTATTTGTGAGGCCCGTTCACACTAGTACAGTGCGTTAATCGCACAGTCCCATGCGATTAACACACTGTGCCACACAAAATTGCACCTACCGCGTATTCTGGTGTGGGAGGTGTGTTGCATTGCCATTCATTTGAATGGCAGCCCAAACGCACCTCCCACCCACAGTTCAATCGCCCGTAATGCCCTGCGTTCCAGTGCAGTGCAACTTGGGTCATGACTTAATGGCCAAGGACAAATGTGGGTCCTGAGGTTACACAGGTTGAGAACCACTGAATTAGACAATAAATTGTAACAACAAAGATAAAAAGTAGTACAGGTGCATTCCAGTCAAAACTGAAATTTTAAGAAAACCTGTATTTTACTCATTCAGGGTACAAGCTTTGCTTTATATCCCGTCCTACCCTTTATAGATACACACTTTCTGCATGTTCCCTATTTGCCTCTGGCACCCATCACTGCAATGTGTGAGGAAGAAGAGAGTGTAACATGCTCCCCAATATGTAAAGTCACTTGCACAAGTTTGTGAAGGTTGCGACTGGGGGACACTGAGAAAGGAAGTACCCCTGGCAAAGGGGGTGGACTATCAAAAAAACCCAGAGAAGCTGTTACTTTGGCCTGAATTAGCAAAATACAGGTTTCCATTAAGTCGTGTAATGGTGCACAGTGGTTTACCGCAACGTAGAAGTGCAGAAACTGCCTGTGCAAATTTTTCATATGTCTAATGAGTTAAACACATTCTACAATTACATATATATATACTGTATATAGTAATAATAGCATTGAAATGTATAAAGGAGCACAGAGTTTTACTATCAATTACAGCAACGCAGAAGAAAATACCCAAAACACAGAAACTGCCTCGAAAGTTTTTCACATGTTCCCCATTGTCCTCTGTTTAACAAATGATCCTGTAGATGGCACTGTTGAGTTGAAACCCATAATATTTGCATATTATACATCTATATTTATATGTATATAAACAATAATAATAATAATAATATATACAGAATAATAATATCCTTGAAATGTATAAAGGGGCATAGAGTTTGACTGCATGTTACCACAACGCAGATGGTTCTGCTGGGATGAAACACTTTAGCATCTACAGTTATATACAGTAGTGTGATAACAGCACTTCAACATGGAAGGCTACAAAGCATTTTATGATTTTATCAAAAATATCTAAAAATAAAGGTTTAGGCCTCATTCACAGGGACGGGCACAGCCGCATAGTGTGCATATCTGTGCAGAAACCTACACCCTGCAGGGACAGGTGTTGCCGCGTGCATACGCCTGTGCATCTCTATGACAGGATGCAGCTGCATGCTGAGTTGCTGACTCAAACTTACACATCGGTACTGGCACAGATGCACACGGGCTTGGATGCAGACTGCGTCCAAGGGCATGCTTATGTACGTGTGCGGATTGGCATGTTTAGCTGTGTGCAGCTGCGTCCTGTCACAGAGATGTATGTCCCTCCCGGACTCAGGTTTCTGCATGGACGTGCATGCTGGACGGCTGTGCATGTCCATGTGAACGAGGCCCTATATTGAAACTTTTGGTAAATAGAAATGTGGAATTATTGGATCTCTGGAAATATTGATGATAAATTGATCTCTGAAGAAAATGGCAATGTATTGGATCTCTAGAAATATTGGTAATATATTGATCTCTGGAAATTTTGGTAATATATTGATCTCTGGAAATATTGGTAATATATTGATCTCTGGAAATATTGGTAATATATTTGAATCTCTGGAAATATCAGTAATATATTGGATCTCTGGAAATTTTGGTAATATATTGATCTCTGGAAATTTTGGTAATATATTTGAATCTCTGGAAATATCAGTAATATATTGGATCTCTGGAAATATTGGTAGTATATTGGATCTCTGGAAATATTGGTAATATATTGATCTCTGGAAATATTGGTAATATATTGAATTGCTAGAAATCTCAGTAATGTATTGATCTCTGGAAATATCGGTAATATATTGGATCTCTAGAAATATCGGTCATATATTGATCTCTGAAAATATCAGTAATATAATGGATCTCTGGACATATTAGAATTACATTTAATCTCTGGAAGTCTCAGTCATATCTTGGATCTCTGGAAATATTGGTAATATATTGATCTTTGGAAATATTGGTCATATATTGATCTCTGGAAATCTCAGTAATATATTGGATCTCAGGACATATTAGTATTATATTTGATCTTTGGAAGTCTCAGTCATATATTGGATCTCTGGAAATCTCAGTAACAATATTGTTTTCACTTCTGTCACTGCTCTTTGTAAGAAATGTGGTTAATAAAGATTCTTTAACGTCGGGGGAACTGGTAAAGTGATTGTGGGCTCTGCAGTCATGCGGTCAACCAGGAAATGAATGCTGGGAGTAGGATCAATCAGGGAATGGGTTAATGTACTGCAGGATGGCTGAGGTGTAGATCTGGATCATCTTTGGGGGAGGGGTATATGAAAAAAAAAGGCTTTTCCTGCTCAGGGCTACTAAAACTGAGATTTTCTCTGTTCAGTCTACCAGTTCCACACATCATTCCCACTCCCCTCCTCCTTTATTTTTACACATCCTCCTGTGAGACTTACAAGGGGGGAGGTTGTCTCATATTGCAATTTCATTTTTGCGCCCAGGGAAGATGTCACTTCATCAATTAAAAAGGGCTCCAGCTTAAGTGACACCCCGCTTTCCCTGTCCACCTCACATGAGGTGAGAGGGCAGACACAGATCTGCTGCAGGCAAAGGGAATAATGCAAACTAATGGCACATGGGATGCCAGGGAGGAGGAATGACATTCACAGAGGTGGGAAGCAGAGATTTCACGCTTGTGGGTCTGCATCCCTCACAGTAAAAAGGGAGGAGGGAGTCAGGGGTGGTAATGTCTGTCATTTAAAATCCAGTGTAAAAAATAAAGATTTTGCATACACTGATTTATTTTTATTTTATTGCACATGCTAACTGCAATGGCTTGTTATAGTATCGAGCAGTGTGATAGAGGAGGAGTCATGGCTTCACACACTATACAGTGGATGTGCTGAGAGCTCCACTGCGCTTGCCTACATCTTCCTTTTTTTTTTTTTCCTTTCCCCCTCTTCCCTTTAAGAGCTGTTGAAGGCTGGAGTCATGTCTGCCTTCCCTCCACCCCTCCTTTTCCTCCCCCTTGCACAGTCTCCTCCAGATGATGCCTCCTCCTAATGCTGCATGCAGACCCTAGTCCTGCTCCACTGCAGAGACTGGAGGGAGGGGATCCAGGACCTCTATCATTACAATGTGGCTTATTTTGCAGGGGGAAGATCACATTTGAACCCTGACGCTTCTTCCTACAAGTGCTTCCAATGTTGGGATTCTATTTATTTATTCCCCTTGTCTTCTGATTTCATCTGATGGCTTTGCTGCATGCCGGATGCTGGATGAGCCTTGTGCTATAAGAATCCCTTATTTTTGGGGGGATTGCTTTTTCGGGAAAATTAGAAAGGATTATATTATATATATTTTTATTTCTTGTAGAAAATGGAGAGTGATATATTTACTCCCATCTTGGAAAATTTTATGAGCAGCCCTCTGGTGAGCTGGGTAAGCAATCCTCTTTATTTCACCGGGCCAGGCGCTAACAGATCCATGTGCTGCTATGCCTAAAATAACGGCTTCTCTTCTCCTTCTCCCCCCAGATCAAGACTTTCGGAGTTCTGGTCAAAGGAAAAGGAACCTTGTTGGATGAATATGTGGCTTTGGTGGACGGCGTGTTCCTCAATGAGGTCATGTTCCAGATGTAAGTGAAAAATCCAGATGCAGCATTCAGATATCTTGTTTCTAAAATGTAGTGATAATGATCTTTTTCATTGGGGGGGGGTCTGGCTTGCTTAGGTCATAGCCATGCCGGAGCTCAAATAAGGGCGTTATTTGCAGACAATTTGATTGAATTTACAAAACGTTGTGTTTCTCAGACTGCGAGTATATTCATGAGGTTCTGCAGCAGCTGTGCCTGGCGCTAATGTCATTCTTATGGTGGTTCGGATGTTCTAATGCAAACCAGCTCAAGTAGAAATTTTGGAAACTTGATGCCTCCCGGGCTTTACTGTCTGGATTCCAGCGGGAAAACAAATGAGGCTATAGTGTTTTAGATTCCGTTATTTGGCACTGTACTGAGAGCCTTCGAAAATCAAGGGAGGGCCTACGAGAGAGATGGTACCGCTAGTTGTAGGATGAGAGCCCTCTGTCATTTTGCTCTGCTGACAGTGACTGCTTGATTGGCTTTGACACCCATGTACAATGGCCATGGATTGAATTAAATGCCCCTCCCGACCCCCTCTTGTTAAGCTTTCAAGTGAAGGAATGAAACAAGGTTTCTATCAGTTTATGTGCATGGGCATTATTCAGGGGTGTAGTCCTCTATCACACAAAACAGTCTCTTTTTTTCTTTCTAATAAGGAAGAAAGGGCAGTCTAGCAAGAACTGTATCTGGCGTGGAATCAGAGACAGCGTGCACAGAAGATAGGCTGCAGGGATAGATAAGGAAGTTGCATTTCCAGTCCAGTGATGTCACAATACCCCAAGAGGGATGACTGGCTCCTATTTCTTTACTACTACAGATGTCTGGTCTGAGTGATTTATTGATTGTGGTACAGGCACTATGTACATATAGGGGCGTATTTAATAAAGCAGTGCAAAGAGCAGTGTGTGTTACTGTACTTGGTCAGACTTCACTTTAAATCAGATTAGTGAATGGCAGTTTCTGATTGGTTGCTGTACTTTGCACACTACTTTTTTCCTTTACTGTAGTCAGGCTGCTTAGGTGTAAGGTTTTAAAGGCATGCTCCAATTTTACAAAAAATGATAAATGCACTCATATTGCAAAAAGAAAATAACGCATTGGAACCTGCAAAGCATTGCAAGTCAGTGGATCCTGGGTACAATACTCCGGTTCTTGCAGACTCTTCTCCCAGCCCCAGTTCCGTACCAAGGTACAGACCTCAGGTTATGGAGCTGAAGGAAATAAGTTATCAGTGGACTACAAGACCAGTGATGTTACCGCACTTCTCTGCAAGAGCAGATGGGATTTGTAGTCTTGTCATTCACAAATCCTGTGAATGAATGACACAGTTGTGCAGCTGGAGCATTGCACAGCCGCACTAAATTTAAAAAGAAACAGAAGCCTGTGGGGGGCGGGCGGGGGATTTGCGTTGGGTTAGCTTTGGCAACCCAACGCACCTCCCGGCAGCTGTGTGTTGCAGTACAACATGAGTGGTCCTTTAATGCTGTCTGTTGTGGTGTAAGAAAGTAGTGCATGCACAATTATTTTTGTTTACCACAATGTACAGTATTGTAGTACTGCACGTTGCGCTATAACGCATGGCCAACGGGAGGTCAGTGGCATCACAAGGGGTGTGCGGCCCGCAGTGGAGTGGTGACATCAAAATGACAGAAAGGAGGGGACGCGGCGGCATACCTCATCCTGCCGTGTGAACTTCCCCTCCTCTCTCTGCCGGCGTCCATCACCACGGCGGGGTGACACAATATACCTAGCGCACGGTAACGCATTCTATGTATGCTTGTTGTTGCTATGTGCTATGGTATTGTGCATTGAACACAACTCCATGGTGTTAACAGGCCCTTTTAAAGAAGTTTTTTTTTTTTTATGCTGCCTTAAAAAGAAGCTGTTTAATACTTACCTGTCCAACTTTTCCCACCACTGCTCACCAGATATAACTTCCTGAAGAGTCTTCTGCATCTGACAGTGTGTTGGATGCCTGCTCCCCTGCTGCACACTATGGTTCCTTCCGCCAGCTTTCAAGTCCTATAGTGAGGTAGGGGTAGGCAGAAGAAACTACAGAGTAAGAGAGGGACCAGGTGTCTGACACTCTCGGGAGGGGGGGGGGGGGGGGTGGGGGGCGGGG